CTATTGCTGCTCTATTCCACACTTGCATGTTTATCAGCCCCATACCTTCTTCATTTTTAGGACTGCAAACTCTCTCCCATGCTGTTAGAGCTTTCTTAGTAACATGTCCAACTCCTGACCATAGATAACTTCTACACAAACTCTTAATTAATTTGATTATCTTAGCTGGAAAGATGAATAATTGTGCCTAATAAGATTGGACACCAAATAACACTGTCTGCATAAGTTGAGTTCTACCTGTGATATACCATGGTTTCACGGTATTATTAATACTTTTTCCTTAAGTTTAGTGTGTCCAAAAGCCTTTTTGTGCTAATTTTTATATAAGTTTCTCCTTATTTACAGGAAATCTGTCCAAAGATGAATGTGGAGGTTTTTGAGCCAATGCAGAAGAGACCACCTACGGAGCTTGTGACGGTCCATCATGCTTGTGACGGTCCATAGGTGGCAGCGTAGTGCAGCTGCTGAAGGAAGATGGGGAAGTCTGACCAAGTGTGGGGTTACGGAGTCCATGACGGTCCATCGTGTCTATACGGTCTGTCCTGCAGGTTCGTCATAAAGTTTCGAGAAGTAGTCCCAGTACCCATATTCCAAGAGTTTAAGTGTTTTGGAACGAAGACCCTTGACGGACCTTTGTACCTGTGACGATCCGTCATACTTGCCGTCGAGGGTAATGGAGAGATCAACATAAGAAATTTCACAAGTATGGGACACCGTCGCGAGGTCCGTCGTGACCACGATGATCCGTCGCGAGGTCCGTCGACCCAGCCGCGTTTTGACAGATTTCCAGCAAATAGAATCCTTGTTTACTTAGGTTTTTATTTTCTATAAATAGTTTGAAAAACCTCATTTTTGGGGTTAGACTCTGTATTATTAGGTTAGACTCTGGATCATTGTTAGACATTTGAATATTGGGAGACTCTTAATTATTTTGTAGACTCTTTGAGAGATTATTGATTATCTTGAGACTTTTATCATTGATTGTTGGTGATTTTTGCTGATTAATCAAGTGAACTTTCGGATTTTACTCTTTCTCATCGAAGTAAGTTCATGAATTCTTATATCACATATTTGAATATTGTAATTATGACTATGGGTAACTAAATTCTACAACTAGGGTTGTGGGAACCATAGGCTAATAATGAGGTAAAACCTAACTAAAATAACAATTCTAGAATAGTGTCTTGCATGTATTGATAATTCTTTCATTTAGAAGTCTTTTTAACGGATGGCCAACGTTAGAACTCGCCTTAATGCTACTTACCGGACCAAGGAGGTAGATAATAGGAAGAGAATTATCAACATAGATTTAGTGTATACTATCTAATAGGCTAGTATTGATTGGTATGAGGTAATAACTTAGTCAAATATCAAATACGATGCTTAATATGAGGTAAAGATAAGGGTTAGGATAGCAACACACGTAGCCGGACCAAGGTGCGGAGTGAAATTTTCTAGATGCCGGACCAAGGATTTAGAAATACATAACTTATCACTTTGCATGCAAGATACTAGGAAAGAATTGTTATAGTTAGACTTATCAAGTTTTGAACCTGCGGGGAACACGTAAACCCTAGTTACTTTGATTAATTGATTAAACTCCAACTTTTGAAGCTGTTAAGTGTATTCAATTTCTCTAGTTATTTTCATTTATTTAGAAATAGAAAATCCCCCTTTTATTGTTTTTTGCTTTCCAAGGAAGAAATTGACTAAACAATAGTAATAGTAGATTGAAGTTAAGTCTAAACTATTTTGCTCGTGGTAACGATCCCAACCTCACTAGTTGGGTTATTTACTTGACACGACCACTTTACTTCTTATTTGAGAAGTAAGTTTGAGCGTATCAAATTTTGGCGCCGCTGCTAGGGGAAGTAGCCGTTAGATTAACTTAGACTTATTACTATAGTTTAGTTGATATTTTCTTGATTTTATTGTTTTTGATTTGTGCAGAACCAACCTTCTTGGATGCCAAATACACGCAGAGGAAGAGGACCCTTGTTTCCCTACGATCACGAATTAGAGCGTACACTACGCAACATGAATCAAAACTTGGGAATCAATGATGATGATCGAAACTAGAAAAATCCTAGCTCCGGTTGATGTTCATGATCAGTTGTTACCCGATGCTCCGGGTGAACACCAACAGAGGGGACAAAATCCCACTCCACGACCCCAAGCATACTACAGAGGCTGTGACAACATATCAGACTTTGATGGGCACTTTTGTTGCCTCCTTTACCACAAGGCCATACTTTTGTGGTAAGTAGTAGCCTGATGCAAATGCTCACTGCCCGAGGTTTGTTTTCAGGGCTACCTTCTGAGGATCCACATGCCCATATAGCTAAGGTTAGGGCAGTGTGTAAAAACTGTGTAGGGAGGCCTGACTTGGACTTAGATGTAATAGGGCTTAGACTGTTTCCTCTCTCACTGATGGGAGAGGCTGGTATATGGTTCACTGAGCTCCCTTACAACTCAATTTTCACTTGGGACCAACTAAGGG